CCAGTAAAGGAATTGATTGTACTGAAGAGTTCGTTGGGTGTAGGGTTTGGTTCAGCCATTTCAGAGTTAGGGCAATTTACTTAACATGAAAGGGCAAGTTCAAGTTGTCCTTAAGTGAGACATTCCCAACTCTGGGACTTACTATACTTAACTGATCCTCTTAACTGCGGGTGAAAACTTAGGTCTTCGTTTCTGTGGAGAGGAAGCAACTGAGCGAAGAAAACAGAACTTTCATCTCACTCACCAATTTGCCAGTTGAGAAACTTTTATGCCTTTCAGACTTTTCACCTTTTGTCATAGCTCCAATCTTTCATTGCCTCTTCCTGGCAGAGTAGAGATGATCCAAAACCTAAACCCAACTCACTGTCATCATGAGGGCAAAGGGCAAATAAGCCCTGAGGCAGTTCTAGAACCCAGCTGGCCCCTGCAAGCGCTGAGGGAAGGCTGGTTTTATTTCAGCTTGCATAGGCAGACACTGAGAATCATATTCCTTTGAACAAGTTTATAAAGCACTCTAACTACTTCAGACTTGGCCAGACTTGAGGCTTTCTGTCAGGAGCTAGTTGGCTGTCTGTTTCCTAACTCGAGAGAAAAAGGTATATACGGGGAGTGGGAGGAAGGGAGGATCCCTGGTGGCACGGTGGCTAAGCACCCGACTGCTAACCACTGAGTGATATATGGGATCTGCTTGCTCTGAGAAGCTTCGTAAAGGAATGAAATGGAAAGGCGCCCCAAATGGGGGGTAATATTGATAGTAATTGTCCAATCCGAAGATGTCAATACAGGACCATTACATCATTTGCTCTACTATTATGATTGCTTCAAATACTACAATTAAACATATTTTTTTAAAAAAAATCTCCCTTAACTTCAGCCCGAAAGCTTCTTGGATCATGGCCTACTAGGCCTTATCTCTTATTACCAGATGGTTTATTTTCCTTCTACCAAGCTCTGCTTCCGATAATTTGCTTTAAGTCTGAGGCAGAACAGAATAATTTTTAAAAAAAGAAAAGAAAGAGAGAAGGGTAGTGTTTCCTAAGCTGGCTGAAGCCCATGTGGCACTTTCTTTCTGAATTTAAATGCTAGTGAGAATGTAGAAGAGGGAAAAACAAGGTCTTGAAGCCTGAGATATGGCCCAGGGACATTTGCACTCAGTATTCACAAACGCAAATTCCAGTTTCATACCACTGTTGAAATGACCTAAGGAGCTGCTCTGGAATGACTGACTCATGGCAATCCATGTGTGTCAGACTAGAATATGCTCCACAGGGTTCTCAATGGTGGATTGTCAGGAGTAGCCCATCAGGCCTTTCTTCTGTGGTACGTCTGGCTAGAGCCTCAACCTTTCCACACATAACACCCAGGGCCTCTCTTAGTTATCTAATGCTGCTATAACACACATATCACAGTGGGTGGTTATCAAGAACAGACATGTATTTACTGAGTTCAGAAGGCTACAAATACAAATGGAATCTCCATTATCTGTTGGACAGGTTCATTCTGTGAGGTCCTCTCCTGGTCTTGTATCTGCTGGCAATCCTTGATATTCCTCTGCTTGAAGATGATTCGCACGTGTCCTCTATCTTCCTTTAGTGTCTGTGTTCTCCCTTTTACAGTTCAGAAGTGATTAGATTTAGAACCTACCTCCACTGCTATGAGCTCATTCTCATGACAAAAGAAAACCGTTAATTCCAAACAGGAGCACATTTACAAGCCAGGAATGCAACACCTATTTTGGGAGGATATAATTCAATCCACAACCTCCATGTTTAGAGATTCAACTGTCTCATTTTTATCAGGATCATTTGCCCCCAAATGAGGAGCATCTGGAATCCACAATTTACCAACGAGATAAAAGGAGAGAAAAATCTCTATTAGAAAGAAAACCCACACTGTCAGCATCATGTCAGCTCCTCCCTTCCCAGGTGCTGCTGGGCTGGTCCTCCTAGCATTGTCTCTGAGGCCTCAAGATGAAGGAGGCTAAGGCCGTCCTGGTCAAAGACCTGCAGCCCACCTACTCGGAGTCTAAGGTCTTAGGAAGCAGGTACTCCATCCATCAGCTGTGTGTCCAAAGCTATTTCCCCATCTCTCCCAGAGCAGCAGTCTAGTCCTTCTGCTTTTCTACACAGCTTCTCAACACACTGGTGGTTTGGATGTCACTCTGAAATTAGAGCCCTACTTTATTCTGTTCCATACCCCTGACAAAATTCTTAAATAGGATATTGTAACCTAAAACCTAAGGATACATTTATTTTAAACATACATTAATATGCCAAATATTTGCCAGAAACAAAAGAGACACAGATAAAAATTTTGGCACACTGAACTTCAGAAGGTTAGAGGAGTGCTTGCTGGGAGGAGAGGCCAAGCAGGGATGGTGAGTGAGGGAGACTGACTGGCAAAGGGCTGGCCAAATGCAGCTGCATCATCTCGTGAGCAGCTTTGGTGGCAGAGGGAAGGCTGGCAGAGCAGAATCGCATGGGCGACAGGAAAGGTGTGAATTCTTTTCACCCAATGTCCCCTGGAGATAGCGAAATTAGGCTATTTCCTGATAAACAGATATTAAAAGAATTTGTAATGACCAGACCAACTTTATAAAAAATGCTAAAAAGTGTCCAATGGATTGAGAACGAACAGCAGACAACAACCTAAGATTACCATACGTGATAACAACACCCAGAAATCAATCCAGATATAGAAGTATTTAAGTAAAGCAAACTTACAAGACTGATAATAGGGAACCAGAGATATCAATATATATTGAAGTCAACTACAAAGCAAAAAGAGGGAATAGTGCAGACACAGAATTTCCAAATGGCAAGGAAGTCTGGCAGATTTCAAGATAAAATGACTGTTTAATAGCAGGGGGGAAAATTAATAAATTACAGGGTAACCTCAAAAAACAAAACAAAACAATAAACCTGCACATAAGATTTCCGTAAAAGGAAAGTCAGAAAGACTCAGTAAACATTAGCCCAAGAGAAACAAAACGAAAAGAAAATCCACCAACAAAATGAACTCAGCATAGAAAATTATGTGGAACAAAGAATCCAACACCACCACCTAAAACACACACAGAAAAACAAAAACAATCAACTCATACCTATTGATAATTACACTGAATGGATTAAATGTACCAGTCAAGAGATACAAAGAACATAATAGATTTAAAAAAAAAATACAACACAAGAGTTCTTGACCCTAGATGGAGTTCCTATGGGCCTAAGTCTTATCGACATTCAGGACCCTCAATTTAGAAGTAGCTCATGGAGGCCCTTGATGGAACTAGTTTCAGTGTCTGTTAGAACACAGGGCAACTGGGGGTAGGGTGGGTGGCTGGATATGATGGCTTCTGCTAGACCAATGCATGTTTGGTAGGGTGGAGGGTCAGAGAAAAAGAGGAAGACCCCCAACGAGATAGGTTGGCAAAGTGGCAGCATCAGTGGGCTCAAGCGTGACAACGATAGTGAGGTTGGCCCAGGATCAGGCAGTGTTTCGCTCTGCAGTGCATAAGGTCACTGAGTTGGTACTGCCTCGATGGCACCTAACAACAACAACAATGCTAGTCTGGTGGCTCTGCAGGTTCTGTAGATCTGGAGCTGAGCCCACCTGAATTCAAGCACCAAAGCAGTGCATCTGGCCCCTGCTTCACATCGTCCTGACTCACAACCTGGGGACTCTGAGCTCCGGGAGAGCATGGGCTGTGCTAGGAATGGATGAAGGCTTATTGGCAAATGAAAATGTCTAAAACTTATGGTAGTGAATATACCACTTTTTAATGTTAAAGAAAATCACTGAATTGAATGTACACTTGAAATTAGTAAATTGAATGATCTAGAAGGTCCCTGGGTAGCATACACAGTTTGCACTTAACTACTAATCTAAAGATCGACAGTTCAAACCCACCCAATGATGTCCAAGAAAAAAAATGATCTGGAAACCTGTTTCCATAAAGATTGCTGCTGTTATGTGCTTCTGAGTTGGCTCTGACTCATAGTGAAGAGACCCTATATAGGGTTTCCGAGGCTATAAATCTTTGTTGGAGCAGAAAGCCTCATCTTTCTCCCATGAAGTGGCTGCGGGGCTCAAACCACTGACCTTGTGGTTAGCAGTTCAATGCTTATCCTACAGAGCCACCATGCCTACTCCATAAACATTATACCCAAGAAAACCCTACACTCAATTCTACTTTGTTAACACAGGGCTTGCGAGGAGCTGGAATGAATTTGACATCAATTGGTTTTGCTTTGTTTTTGGAATGACTGACTAAATAGAGCTGATAAAAAATGTGTGCTTCAAGGGGCTGAGTAGGTTAAGAGCCAGTCACCCTAGATCTAGTTTATTATTTCAAAACAGAGTGACAATACTATTTAGGTTTTCCAAGCAGCTTCCATTGAAAGAGCTTCCTTGTATTAATCTGAATTTAAGTTCCAGAAAAAATGCCAGAACAACTTTGAGTTGAAACAGTTCAGGGGCCAAGACACCATTTATGTGGACAACATGTATAGGCTAGGAAGCCACTGCCCCCACTCCCCAGAGTCTCGAAAAGTTGACAAGAAGCCAATTAACCTGGTGACAGTTTGAAGACTCAGGTCCAGTGTCCCCACAACTGGAGTTCCTCAGACACAGCAGGTGACCTACAGCTTCTCTGGTCCCATAGGGCATCCACGGAGAATCGTGGTGTAGACGGGTGGTTACATCAGACCACCTGACGGAGCTCTTTCCAGAACTAGTTTGAGCGGGCTTGCAGCCTATGCAAACCTTTCTCCTAACTCCCCAGTGTGATTTCTGTACTGCTGATTCCTCTTTTGTGAGATTTCTGTAGGCTCAAGTCAGATCCATCTATTTTCTACTTGAGTGGGGTCACTGAAGGCGACGTTTCTGCCTGGCTCTTCAGAGGGGGCTTCATCTTACTCCAGAATAGTGAGGTAAAAGCAGCCCATGGCAGAAACCACGCAGGCAATAATAGATCATACCCACCCCTTCCCAGTCTTCTTAGGTCAGGATTTGAGGCCCATCTTGGCCATCATCCCTTCGTAGACTGTCCACGCCATTGCTGCCATCAGAGTTCTGCGGAGGGCCCGGGGGACTCCGCCTTGGAAGAAACCACGCAGCCCATAGTCCTATGATAAAAACTAATGTTAAAATTCCAGAAGCAAAGCAGCAATACAATTAATTATCCTTACATGACAGTGGAGTGTCTCTGTATTACCTCATGTTTGATTCTGACTTTCTAGACTACAAGGCCAAAACTGTGACTGACAGTTCCAAATAGAAAACCAGTTGAACATTTTTTAAAACATGCAATATCTTTTTAGGCTTGCTCTATTTAGATAAATCTACATCTTAGTTGAAAATCTTTACATAAGGTCCTGCATTCCACTTGTGCTCTTCTCCCTTGATGGTCCTAGGGTCCTGTTTCTGGACTGTAAGATTAACTACTCCCCCATTTTTGTTACAAAACTTCTACCTTTACAATTGTTACAGTCACAATTAGTCATGGTAACAATTACTTACTATTGAATCATAAGAATCTTATCCCCATCTCTTTTAACCAGACCCTTCCAGACAAGATGAAAACTATTCAGTGGGGACTGTATCTTCCCCCTCTTGAAATCTTGTAAGCCAGTCACTTCAAGTCTTTATTGCCCTCCTCATTTTAGGTAGCTAATGTCTAAGTTGCCTGTCCCTCTATACCTTGTGCACAGACGGGATAGCATTGATACTTGATGTGAAGACTCTTTCCCTCTCTGTTGGTATTTAGTCACTACGGGTTAATGCGCTGGATAGAAAAATTGGTTTGAACCAAAGATGGTGGCTCAAGCTCACCAGCTGCTCCTCGGAAACACTGTACAGGGTCGCTTTGGGTGGCAATTGACTCTACGGCACTTAACAACAACCTTCATGAGTATAGGTCAGGTTCATTAAATTGTAACAATTTATCCTTGTTTCTTTTATCAAAAATTTTATCTTCCTCTAGTAGATTTCTGATTATCAAGTCATTGAGGCTAGGTCAAATGCGTACTATCTGCAAGTTGGGGTATTTTTGTGTATCTCTCCCCACTTCATATCAGTTGGATGCTTCACTCTCAGTTCTAGCCCTCTGTGGCTATGTCCTTGTTCATGGGCTCAGGTGTCCCCAGGTCTCACCATACTTTGGACCAACCAGCCCTTCCTCTTCACTCTCTCATCTCCAGGTCAATGGGAGTCAATGGACCATGGTTGAACTCAGTCCATTTCTTCACTGTTGCATTTTCCCCTCTTCCACTCACCAGTAGACCAATGTGGTCACCAGCAAGCTTACATGCCTGCTCATGTGTTCCCTTTGAGTTTCAGTCTTAGAGGGGAGTTTGTCCTGAAGAGACTTGACTGCTTGCCTTGATGGCTTCCCGGTGAACAGCTTGCTTATTCTTGTAGTAACCAGTCATACTGCCATTTTTGTTTTGTTTTTTTCTTGATGTTTCTTTGAAGATGTATCTTCTGTCACTCAAGCTGTTCCAGGCTGGTCTGCTTGTCCTTTCTGGTGGGAATGTCCACCTCAGAAGGTTCTGGATGGGACTCAGGATTCCACATAAGGTCTTATACTCTGCAAAGGCTCCACAAGAGGCCTATCTCACTAGGCAAGTTATAGAGCACCTTGTAGGTATTCCAATCAGTTATAGGCTGAAGACGGGCTTACAACTTTTCTCTAATCATGTTTCCCGACATTCCTTTCTATCCCACTCAAGTGTTTATTTTACAACAGTAGGCAAGGGAAACAAATATTCATAAGACAGTCAAGCATCTTAGTATTATTTCCCCTCTTCAAACTATGCCTAGATCCCTGTATCACAGAGGCTGGTTGTTCCAAGGTTAAACTATCACTATTTACCTCTGTCTCACTTAGGCCATGCAAACCTGTCACAGTGTTCCCCTATCTACCTTGTTCTTCCACCTCCTCTCCCTTCTTGTATGGCCATCCCCAATACCCAAACTATGATGTGTCTGCCTTTAACCTGTCACCTGTGCTCTACTGTCACCTCCCTCTAAACCCCCCACCCCAACCCCACTGTTGTGGTTAACTTTTCCCTCCATTTAAGACACTTTATTTTATCCTATAATCTACCGGACTTCTCACCACCTGGATCTCTGTTTCACTATGTTTACCTTGGTTAACACTGTAATTGTTTTGATCAGACTGACCTCCCAGATCCTCTGATTTTGTTCTTACAGTTTTCTTCTGTTCTTGACTCTTCCATTTGTCGATTGAGTTCTGGGTACTCTCTCAGTGGCCCTCACTTTTTATGAATGAAAAACAAAACACTTCTTCCTTCTCCTTCATAATCTGGACTGATTTTCTTATTCCTATTGCATTGGACTCCTGGTGTGGCCCTGTAGGATCAGCACTGGGCTGTGAACCACAAGGTCGGCGGTTCAAATCTACCAGCTTCTCCTTGGAAACCCTGTTGTTGTTGTTGTGTGCTGTAGAACTGATTCTGACTCATAGCAACCCTGTATAGAGTTTCTGAGGAGTGGCTGAGGGGTTTGAACCATCTACCTTATGGTCCAGTGCTGGTCCTAGAGTGCCATACCAGGACTCCTGGAAACCCCATTCAGCAGCACTTACCAACACCAACAACAACAATTGTCCTAAGAATCTCTGGTTGTGTTTTGGCTAAGCACTTTACTGCTAAGCAAAAGGTCTGAAGTTTAAACCCACCAGCTCCTCAGTAGACATAAGACGTGGCAGTCTGTTTCTATGCAGATTACAGATGGAAACCCTATGAGGCACTTCTACTCTATCATATAGCATTGCTAGGTGTTGGAATCAATTCGACAACTATGTGTTTGGTTTGGTTTTATTGGTATCATTCCTGTAATTTTTGTATATATTAAACAACTTATTATTTTCATACTTTTTGATTTTAGGAATACAGAGTAAGAAAGCAAGAACCTAAGCTGTGTTGAGGGGTATCAGACTCACAAATATTTGCTTATATTTAGAGTGAGATTGGAGTCCTGGTATGGTACTTTGGGTTAATGCACTGGACTGCAAGGTCAGTGGTTTAAGCTCACCAGTTGCTCCTCGGAAACCCTATACAGGGTCACTAAGGGTTGGAACTGACTCGATGGTACCTAACAGCAGGGTGAGAATGGTGCATATAGTTACATGTTTCATCTATTGCATAGACAAAGTGAGAAGTGCCGAAAAATCTAAAGGCACCAAATTTATCTTTAGCATGGACATTCAGTTTACAGTAACCCAGTAACTTTTAAATACAAGCACACCTCAGAGATAGTGTTGTGGGTTCAGTTCCATACCAATGCAATAAAGCGAGTCAGCTGCATGTGTTTTTGTTTTCCCAGTGCATGTTAAAGTTATGCTTATAATAACTATATAGCCTATTAAGTATGCAATAGCATTATGAAAGTTTGAGATATTGTGAGAATTATTAAAATGTGACAGAGACTAGGGAGCACATACTACTGAATTAAGGCACCGAAAATGACTCAACATAGGGTTGCCACAATCCTTCAAATCATAAAAAACTTAGTCTGCAAAGTGCACTAAAGTGAAGTGCAACAATACGGGGCTTCAAAGAGTTTATTGAAAAATTCCATTATCTTTTGTGTAGTTTTCAAAATGTTTTGTAGTCTGTGTATTCCCTGAATTAGTGCCCTCACATTTGTCCCTATTTTTTCATTGATGGACTTCATAATGCTGGGATTCACATTTAGGTCTTTAATCCATGTTGAGTTGGGTTTTATATAAAGTGTGAGGTGAAGGTCTTGTTTCAATCTTTTGCATATCACTTTCCAGTTCTGCCAGCACTATCTGTTGAAGAGACTATCACCTCCCCATGTGATATATTTAGGTGTTTTATCAAAAATCAGTTGGCTGTATGTACATGGGTTAATTTCTGGATTCTGAATTCTGTTCCATTGATCTATGTATCTTTCATTGTACCAGTACCAAGCTGTTTGGCCACTGTGTAGCAAATTTTGAAGTCGGGGAGTGAGAGGCCTCCAGCCTTATTCTTCTTCTTAAGCAGTGCTTTGCTTATCCTGGGTCTCTTTCTCTTCCATATAAATGTTGTAATTGTTTTGTCCATCTCTTTGAGGAATGTTGTTGGAATCTTGATTGGGACTGCATTATATGTGTAAATTGCTTTGGGCAGTATTGACATTTCACAATGTTAAGTCCTCCTATCCAGGAACATGGTACATTCTTCCATTTTTGTAAGTCTCTTTTGGTTTCTTGTAGTAGCGTTTTGTAGTTTTTTGTATAAGTCCTTTGTTTCTCTGGT